ATTATTTAAAATATACATGTTTTTCACCAAATTTGCACTTTATCCTATAGAAATTTACAAAGAATTTTCCTTAAACCTGAAAAGAAAGACATTCTCCTAGCAATTATTTTCAATTTTAGATGAATTCATAACATGTGTGCTTGCTTATATTCCAGGTACACTGTAGGCAATTAATGTTTGGTGAATAAATTTTCTACCTTATGAAATATATGCATACATTTGCATGCTTATTTGTGTGAGTGACATCTGTTTAAAATAAGAAAGCAAGCCATCTTAACATGTATAGAGCATGTGTGTGAACACACATTCGTATATTTAAAATGTCATCAAGCAATGTTTTCCTATGCATATGCTTGTAAGTCATTTAATTCTTTGTGAACTGCCACATGGTATAATGCTCTGGACATATAAAGGTGGAACAGCAAAAGGTAGCTAGACAGCAATGATTAGAAAACAAACAAAATAACCCAGTTTCTTGAAGGCTGAGATTTGATATCATTTTTATAATGCAGTTGTGTCTATTGCCTTTTCCTATCCAAATGTCATTCTGGTCCTTCTTCCTTACCTTTTATCTCCAGATATCCTCTTGACCTCAGGGAAGATAATTTATTTAATTCATTTACATAAAATGATCTGCCATCAATTTAGGTCTTTTTTTTTTCTTTTTGGACAGGAATTTCCTTAAAAAATGTGCACATATTCAGTTCTAGCCAATGAGATGTTGGTGGAAACCTGTTATCTAGAGGTAATAAAACATTCCCATGTGAATCAAGGCTGAATTTAGCAAAGAGAAAACTCCTTTATTCCAAGTCAGCCTGCCCTCAGGTGGGTGAGATAGCTGTATGGTCAGCAACAATTTTGTGACTCAGAAAAACCAATAAAGTCACAGAGATTTCAACCCTGATATTATTGAGTTGATGGACTAAGGCCACCAACCTCCAACTCCTGAACTTTGTTATGTGATAACAATTAAGCACTGTTTAAAAGCTGTTGTATTTAGACTGCCTAATGCAATCTAAAAGAGATATTTCTAACAGATAGGGCTGCAAAGGCACAGTCTTCCCATAAGGCTACACTTGCAATGAGGGAAATCAGCTGGGAAACTTCTGGTCTATTCCACATTTCAGTTTCATATGCTGGGTCCTCATTGCTTTAACTAACACTGCCTGGTAGGTTCAGAGCACCAAAACTGAGGTTAGATGATTGTCTATTAGGTATAGATCCCTTCAAACACAAGGTCTGGAACCTGCTACACAGTTGGCCCTATAGTCAAAATTATGTCATTTGTGTGTTAATGAAGTAAAGTGAGTATTTTTTAACAAAACAAATATATGAGAGTCTTCTTTTATTGCTTCCTACCTGAGAAACTTACTTTTTCATCCACAACACTGGGATTAGTGTTACAGTGTTATCTGTAACCGAGCTGTGATGAAAGATAACATTACTTGAATACACAATCAGTCTATAATTAACCAGCAATGACAATTATAAATAACACTATGTCCCAGAGTTTCCAAGAAACCTGACACACACAGTTCTTGGGTTTGTTGAAACACTTCCAAGAAAAGTAAAGAAGTGAAAAATCTTTTAGAAGTCTTCAATTAAAATGTGTTTCAGTAAAAATGACTTTCATGATGTTTTGGTTCATATCACTGGAAAAACATTTGTCCCTATCTTCACACCTCTAATTGTTTTCACTGTCCAATTACAGCTTTTCAGAATTAAGACCTTTGAGTTGGGACAACCATGCTGGCTTTTTGAGATGTGAGGAAGAATTAAAGTGTACAAGGTTTGTGCACCCTGGAAAACAGATTTTCACTAAAGGATTTTAATTATCTGGATCTCAGGTCATGCTATTGTGCATGTTTTAGACTAATCTAAAGTACCAGGATGGACTTCTTTTCTCTCCTTTTTCCTTTATCTAGCTCCTCTTTCTTTCTACTTTGTCTCCCTCACTCTTTATCTTTCACATACTTTACAGGTTTAGAAAGTTATGAGTATTATTTTAGATAGAGAACTATCCTTTTTGGGGGGATTCAAATGATATGAGAATATAATAGTGCAAAATATTAAAATAATTTATCATATATTCTGTTTGTCTTTCCTCAAGAACTATGAAGCAAAATTTCAAACCATTTACTGCATTTGCACTGGGTCTGGATAAAGCTGAATGATTATAAAAATCTAAAAGAAGGTAGGTATTAGGAGAATAACAGCACAATATGCATAGCAATGTTTCTTTCTGTGGGAGAATATGTATCACTTTTGTCATCACACATATATAACTGATTATGCTAAGAAACGAGTGCTCTTTATTCAGTCCTGACAGGCTCACTCACATAAACATGTAAAACAGTCAAAATAATAATTTGATTTAAACTGTAAGCTGTATAAAAATGGAGACCATATTTTCTGGTTCAAAAACCACACCTCCAGGGTTGCACAGACATACCTAGTTGAACAGGAAGGAGGAACCACAAACCATGGAAAGACCTGCTTCAAAGAGTAGCTATGATCTTAATTCATTATCAGATGCTAGAGTCACAGGAGGGATTGAGCTAATTCAGATCTTTCGGTGGAGAAGTTGTACTTATATGAGGGTCTGTCAGACTATTACAATAGTTGAACTGCTTCATTTGCAAAATTTTAGTTTTTCTCTTAAAAACCAATAAAAACATGAGTTTGGGATTTAATTCAACTACATGCAAAGTACGTGCTAAAGAGACTTAGGAATACAATCTTCTCAAGAATACAGACATCTTAATTGGCCAATAGGTAATGGCAGGTATGACTTCAAAATAGATTTGTTTGTTGAAGTAGTTTTAACTCCACAAAAAAAGAAAGGAATATTGAAGCTGTAGCTTTCAACAAAGGCAACTCTCACTCTTGCAACCCAAATTAGAGGTGCTAATAAAGGAAGTAAAATAAAGTATGTTTGTGGAGGTGGACAAGAAGTGGGAAAAGGTCCCCTTACAATGGCCAAGTATGGAATAAAGTAAATGCAGATGGTTCCACTTCTGTTACTTAATCAAAAGGCCGCACAGAGTCACTGGAGCCAGCATAAAGTCATGCCTTAGAACAACAGCTGATCTGTATTAGAGAAGATTAACTCACAGTGCCATGGTGGAGGGCCCAGGATTATTTTATGTACTTCCATTGCCTTACAAGCCGTCAGCACAATTATTGCCCTCCGATGTGAATGACTGATCTGTAACCACAGCTAAACAGCATGCTGCTTAGGGGCCTAGGAGCTTCATGAAGATGAATTTCCATACCATCAAAGTGCTTTTAATGGGCTCCCTGATCCAACCACAAGGCCTGTTTTGCAAGTATATAGAACTCAGGATGAAGGCTTCCTGTCCAAAAGGATTTGGTCGGTTGTCACTTGACAATTCCCAGCCAGCACAGGGGAGGAGAGGGGGGAGATAGGTAGAGTTGTCTCTGCTTTGGAGGATTAAAAAAAAAAAAAGGGTACAGATGCTTGCTGAATGCAACCAACTGCTGTATCCACAGCTGAATTCAATGCGCTTAACAAATAACGGCAATTTAGCTATGCTTGCGAGGAATAGCTTGAGTCACTTTGCATTAGCATCTGGCTGAGTGTTAAACTCATTTCTACATGGGGAGCACAGAAAAGGAATTTCTGTTCAAGCATCCTTTCAAGAATGTTTAAATATTTGAATATAAATTCCTTTATGCTTGCTATCATTCCTTCTTAGAGCTGTCACTTTGCTTTTCCCTTTCTCTTCTGGTGCTTAGCTAGAAAAATTTTGGGTCCTCCTCACTGCACCGATGTCACACTTCTTATAAGGTTTGAAAGGGATGTCTCCTGACCCATGCTTTGCTCTCCCCTCTGGAAACAGAGCAGAATTGAAATCCTATCCCTATCCTGAATTTTACCCATGTAAGAACTCAAGAAAAAAAGGAGCTGTGACCCTCCATGTCACCTGCACTATGCAGATTGCTCGCTGCCTACTGATAGTGCATTTACTTCCATATGAAAGCTGGAAAACCAGCTACCTATCAAAATTAGCAATCTACTCATTCTGAACAATGTTGTTTGGCTCATACACTTTCCATGATGATGAACTTCCAAGTTATTGCTAAGTAGCCGATCATTTTCCCCCTTATCTACTACAGGGGATTCAGTAACATTTTAAGATCTCCATTCAAAACATCAAATATTACCAAAGAGGTACCCCATTCTAATTCTTCTATAATTGTCTACATTTCTTTCTGTGTAAAATACAACTTATGGGGCTGGGGTTTTGTGGCTCAGGGGTAGACCACTCGCCTAGCAAATGCAAGATTCTCAGCACCACATAAAAATAAATAAATAAAATAAAGATATTGTATCCAACTACAAGTAAAAAAAGAATAAATGTATGCTTAAACAAAACAGGTTAAAATCATTACAGCTCAGACAAATTCAGAAGTTTCACTAACTTGAAGTGTAACAAATAGTGTCAAAAATTTTTAAAGCACATTTTGTTTCGTGATACAAATGTTCCAGTTGTGCAGTTGCCCAACCCTTGACAGTGCTTTGCACTGGAAACATTATGACAAGCTCAGGATCTACATACTTAGAATATGAGCACGGGTATCATCCAAGCTTATGCTGATTAAAGAAGATTCAGCATTTTCAAATCCAGCTCATCCTCAAATACAAGTTAAGCATCTCTGTAAAGCAAAACTTTCACTCAGGCTCAGATATTTCAAATGCCACTTAATTTTAATACAAACTGGCGGTATAAAAGTGGATATCAATTGTCAATAAAGTTTGGAGATGGATAAAGAGAATTATAACTCTTCCCATTTCCAGATGGTTTAGATTAAGATGGGCCTGGGGACTTGTGCATTGATGGAGAGAAAACAGGCGGGAGAACCATCATGCTGAGGATGGCAGATTAAAGAAAAGCAAAAAAGAAACAATAGAAAAGAAAAACATCCAGGCACTTTAATGAAGTATTCCTGGAAAGTAAGCTATTTCGTGAACTGACCTTTTCTGTCCGGCAGTTATTGAGACCTAGACTATTCACAACAGCCACCTTCCCATCAAGCACCTGTTGTTCCCGCCGAAGTTGCTCCTTCATCTGCCGTGCTTCTTGGATGGCCTTGGTGACAGCATCATGGTCATTTAAATAACCTGGAAAGGAGACAGATCAGATGTGCAAATGCATGGGTAAGCTAACCTTAATTTAACCCACACAAATCTCTTCTGTTTGGAGTAATGGTTAATATTTGACATATAATAATTTCTTTGTTGAATTTATCTAAAGCAAATGAATGAATAATAGATGACTGATTCACATAATCATACATGTTGCCAAACATCTGTAATCAATACGTGTTTATATACATATGGTCATTTCTAAATATTTAGAATGAAGTGTAAAATGTACTTTAAAGCAAATTTTAGTAATTATCTGAGCATTTGGTGGAATCAAAAATAGAACCTATGTATGATTTTTTTTCATGCAAGGAATATTTGAATGTTACCACAGGATATAGTTATTGATAATTACCACTATGATTATTGACTCTCTCTTAGTATTAAAAAGGTCATTTTAGAGTTTTTGTATAGCTCTATTAGGTTTGTCATATATAGAGGGGATAAATCATTATTAACAGAAGAACATTTTCCCCCTAAGTCTATTTATGGTGAAATAAACTACAGGTGGCAGTGGTTTGCTATGGATGTAAACTTGCAATAGTTAAGAAGCTAAATTTCAAGCACAGAATGTAACTAAGCACCTGTAATTGATCAGAAATTGTGGCTATTGTTAACTGTAGTCACAATTCACTCTCTAAATAAGATGGTTAAATGTCTGCAGCTCCACAAGCCAGTCAGTGAAAAACAATACCAAATATTTCTTGTAAAGAATAATAGGGACAAGGTGCTAAACTAATTAAAATTTAACTTTAATTTTAACACTGGTCATCTATTTATTTGCTGCACATTAGTATGAGGTGCTGTATGATCTTAGAGTAGAATCCTAGTGGAAAACAATGGCTTTTGCAAATATTTAGAGTAAAGCTAATACCTCATCTTTCTCCCTATCTTTTAACTGGGGCATAAAATGGCATAAAATGAAATCTGTAATATGAAATTGCCCAGAAAAGGGACTTGTTTGTGACATGAGGCTAAATCTAACCAGATCCATTGGTGAATTGTGACAGATGGAGGGACTGTGAGACAGAAGGCAGGCACTAATCACACATAAAATGACCGGCTTGCCTCAACATGTTCCATGGATTCCAGCAAACTTTACACCCTAATCCATTTTTAGAACAAAAAACATCTGGGCCATAAATCCTCTAATCTGCCAAAACACGCTATTAAATCCCATGATTTGTTGAAAAACACTAAGATTAAAGAAAGGAAATATAAAATGGCTAACTGCCGTGTTAGGAAAGTGTTATTAATACTCTTTCTTTGTCTCAATTATGAATGTTCTGGTACTAAAGAGCCTTGTCTAATCATGTCAGATTACACATGCTCGTTGTATTGCTAGACTCTTCTATCTGATCTGTTGATTGCCAAAAAAACTTAAAATATTTTCTTGCTGCTTAAACATTTCTATTGAAGAAACTGATGTCAAGATTAGTGCAGTGCTTCAATGTGGAGGGTTTCTAAATGACCCATGCCTTTCCCCCTACTACACAGACTACACCTGGTCTTCTTAGCATTCTTGACATCAAAAGATAAGTTCCACGGTAGGTGGTGAAACAGAAATCTTGAGAACTATTATATATTTTGCTTTACAAAGCTAGTAATTGGAATTTATTCAAAGAACAAAATACCTTTGCTCCTTAAAAATACAATATGATTTGAAAACAACTATTTAGACCTAGGACTGATCTTCAGGGTTAACATTACTCTAAAGGATGATTGTGTTTAACTTTATATCATCCCCTGATGTGGTTCTCCTGAACAGTCTTCTTCACCTATTATTCCTGACCTTGCTTGTTCTGTTCTTTTATTATTCTGGAAAGAAGTACAACTCTTAAACAACAGTGTTGGCATGGGTACATTCATTTAGTAAGATCTTACGAGGATCAGCCTGATTTTTCTGTCCTCTAGCCCCTGTTTATGTTCAACCTGGCATAGTTCATTTCTGAAGTCTATTTAGTTTCCATGTAATCTATTTAGTTTCTTCAGAACACAAATATATTTGAGATGGTTTGGCACATGGTGTTGAATAAGATCATTAATTCTTTATGCTTTTTAGGGACTGCCAAGATAACACTGTGTAGGAAAATGGTTAAGATAGAGACAAGAGGAATGTAAATTATCCGAAGGTGGAAAACGGACAAACCTATGTTCTTCATAGGCTATTTCCATTTTGAGGTGTAAATGGTGGTTACTTTAAAATAAACATTGCTCTTGAGTTTTAATTACAATATTGAATAAGAAATTTTCCTATCTTGAGTCATAAGGTCATTGATATACTAAAAAAGGTGCAATCTAGGTTCGCCTGATGGTTCTTTATATTTTATTTTCATCAAAGTCACCAAATGCCCACTCCTGCTGACTACCTCTTTTCAACAAATGGCTTTGTTTCAGATTCTGGAAAGCCCAGTAAGCCCAAACATTTACCTTCCTTCCACACCCAACTCCTACCATTTGCTGGCTTCAAATCCCTGTATATGCTTCCTTTTCCCCTCCTGTTTCAATGAAAATGGTGTCTTTACTTTCATTGAAGGAAAATCCTCTGAGTAATTTTCTAGGTTTCTATTTCTCTTCATTGATAGTTCTGTTTCTCATTATATCATACATCTGATCTCCTCTACTATTGCTACCTCCTCAACTTGTAAATACTGAAGTTTCTCTCTTCTAAAACAAAATTCCTATAAGTTTGTTTTGCCCTCTCTTTCCAACTGTGTTTCTATTTGCATTCTAGGTCAAGCTTCTCAAAGATGGTTTGGTTTATCTTATACTCTCTCATTCTTTCTTTACTCTGCAGTTCCCACTACATTCACATTCCTGATTCCTGAGGTCTTTCCATTGCCAAATCCAAGGGCACTTTCCACTCCTTGCAGACTGACAGCATTGGCTATCCCGCCATTATAGGAACTCCTTTTCTTGTTTCTCATCATACCTCTGTTCTCCTTCCTTCCTGCCTCTTTCATCTTCATATTCTTGACTGGGATCCTTTCTTTTCCTGCTCGTCAAATTTTGGTCCAAGTTTTTAATCATCAAAGTACATGTTTTAAAGTTGGGAAAGCCTGAATTAAAATCCTAGTTTTACTACTTACTAACTAATATAAACTGCACAAATTATTGTCTCAGTTGTCTCACTGATTACATGGGGATAATACTCAATAGATAAGACAAATGCTGTCAAAATTAACTGAGTTAATATATCTTCTTAATGTAATAAATGGGCCATGAAAGTTAGTCATTAACCATCACTTTTTTTTTTAACAAAGTGGCCTACTGAAATATGTAGATTTGGGAACTGGATTCAGATGGATCTGGATTTCCACTTTTTGGAAAGTGTGATATTTGACAAATTATAACACTTAATTTCCATTTCCCTCAACTTTAAAATGAACATAAAGTTAATAGAAGAATGAAATGAAGTAACACATGAGGGAGGATATCTGAGTTGGTATCTGAGTTGGTAGCATACTGTTAGGTCCTTTCATTTCTCTTTCATTTTTCCTATATGCTTTCTCACTCACAGTACTTTTATTACATGCCTTTGAACATTACAACAAAATCTGTAATGGTATGTTATTTCTTGGTAGTTATAGAGGTTCAATGAAATGGAAGTCAAGTCCATCAGAGTTCAAAGAGATCCAAAATGGTCATTTGATACATTTTATTCTGCCTTCATTATAAATTTAGGTAGGAATTGCACCTAGAAGCAGGATCAGAAAGGAAGCTACTATGAGTGAAAGAAAGGTTTGGTGAGTCTCGACAGCAGAAAGGAAATGATAAGGCAAGGGTCAATGTGACTTCTAATTAATATTTTAAATAAGATTTGGAAAATGCTGGCTAGGGGTAATTAATGTAAGAAACTTGTGAGATTCTATAACTTTTTAAAATTTACCACAATTGATGTTTTATCCCTTGGTGTTTCTTTTTAATCATTCAAAAAATGTCCAAGTTTTTCTTTTTTTGTGCTCTTTAAGACCGCTTGTATATTATCAGGGGCAAAAAAAGAAAAAACAGACAAATTTTAGAGAAGAAAAAAAGTGGAGTAGGGAGGGAGAGCATGGGAGGAAGATTACCTCTAGATAGGGAAGAAGTGTGGGAGAGAAAGGGAGGGGGAAGGGGAATAGCATGGATGGTGGAAGGAGATCCTCATCATTATACAAAATATATAAAGATGTGAATTTGGTGTCAACATACCTTATATACAGAGATATGATAAATTGTGGTATAAAGGTGTATTAAGAATTGTAATGCAAAAAAAAGAGAGTTCATGTATAATGGCATAATTCGGAGTGAACATACCTTATATACAGAGTTACGAAAAATTGTGTGGTGAATGGATAATTATAAATGTAATGCATTCCACTGTTGTCATTTATGTAATAAATAAATAAATAAATATATAAATAAATAAAATGCACGGTAAAAAAAACATTTAAAGGGAAAGAATTAATAATGAATGCTAGACCAGGGGGAAAGAAAAGAAACAGAATATTCTATAAATGTCTTGAATTGTGTTCACCAGAAAGATATATCTAAAGCTTTGGTCCCCTGTAACTTGGAAAACACTCATTTTTGGAAATTGGGTCATTGAAGATTCAAGTCAGTTAAGGATCTTGAGGTGATCTCACCCTGAGATTAGGGTAAAAGTCCTAAAGCCAATGAATGTTATTCTTTGAAGAAAAGTAGACTAAGATTTGACACAGAGAGAAAGGGGAATATGTCAATATAGAAGCAAGTACTGGAGTTATGCATCTAAAACCCAGAGAATGCCATGAACTGCCAGCAGCCACCAAGAACCAGGTGAAAGGCATGAAAGAGGTTCTTCTTGAGAGCCTCCAGAAGAAACTAACTGTACTGACACACCTTGACTTCAGATTTCTAGTCTCCAGAATACCAAGGCAGTGAATTTCTCTTATAAGCTACCTAGTTTATAGTCATTTGTTTTGACAGTCCTAGAAAGTCAACATGGCGCCCTCAGT